GCCACAAACCCAGAAATCTTTCAGAAGTGCCTCTTAAAGTAAGTAATAAAATAGTGTGTATCTGGGAGCCAGTGGATGTATGATGGAGGTTGAGGCGACTTCCATTTCACTATTATCACTCTCCGTGCAAAAAAGGTCAGGAAAGCCAAGGAGCACTTCTGAAAAGAGGACAAGGTGGGCTGTGGAGGGTCAACCCAAGGGATCAAGCTCTAATTTCATGCCAAAATGTCCGACAAAATAGCAAAAACTTTGACCAATAGTTGGAAAGCTGAGAATAGAGCCAGATAGTGTGGATCAAGTTGGCTGGAGAATGTTGGCATCCATCACAGGCAGGAGAAACGCTGGTGCAGAACTTGGCCAGACGTGCTTTAGTATAATAAATACGATACTGTCCAAGATCTTCCTCCCAAAGTGATCTAAGCAGGGTTCCCACGGGTCCTTTAAAAAGTCTTAAAAGGCATTGAATTCTTCAAAATAAAACTAAGGCCTTAATTGGTATAAAATGTCTTAAATCAGTCTTTCGTAGGTCTTAATTTTTAAAACATCATAAATAGGATTATTTTTATTACGATTTACATTTGTAATTTAAATAAAACATTAAAATTGACCTTTTTTTTTTTTTTTTTATAAAAAAAAAAATAACGGCTTGCCATTATTGGTTCCATCCCGATAGTGGAACCAATAAAAGCGATGCACCATTAACTTTTTGTCTGGAAAATATGAGCAAGTGTAAATGTAACAATAATTGTCTCCAGCCAAGAGTTTTCTCCATGGCTAAAACCAGGGAACATACATGAGGCTCAGTGGATTTAGTGCAAGAAGTCATTCAAGCTCGGAACGATGGGAATTAAGGCAGTGGAGTCGCACATGCGAAGCACGAAACACAAAGCGTGAAAATGGAGTTACATAGAAACAGCCGGTATTTCTCAGTTTAGTTCCACCCTTGTCTCTGCAACGCCTCCACTTATCACCAAATCAAACATACTAAGAAAAGGATAAAAAGAAAAAATAGCTGCAAAAAAGACTTAGCACTGGTTATGTTGTGGCTTTAAAACTGATTTGTTTTGTTCCCTGCTAAAACAAAGTTTGTGAATTCAGTTAAATAATTGTTCAAATATATCTGTCATTTGTGTGTTTTTAGCTTTCTTCCTGTATGGGAAGTTTTTCAACATTTGAAACATTAGTGCAGTGGTTTATGTTAAAATAAACCTTTGGGTTAAGTTGTCGCAAGCAGGTTTTTCTTGTGTTTCTTTTGAATTTGGTCTAAATTTTTATTTCAAGTGGCATTAAAAAGTCTTAAAATGTCTTGAATTTAACTTGCCTTTTGCTGTAGGAACCCTGTCTAAGGGAATTCAGGGTTTGTGAGCATAAAAGCTTAATTTGACTTTAAATAAAAAAAATTGGCTCCCTTCATTTTAAGAGAAGGTTTTACTAAAATATCTAAAGGGAAATCTCTTTGGAAAGGTTGAAACAATTCAATAAGTAGAGCGGACAAAACTGCGCACTTGCAAATATCTAAAAAACTGACAACGTGGGATATCAAAGTTTTCAGAGATTTGTTGGAATGAGGCAAAAGTATATCAATATAAATACGGTAAAAGTTGATCAAAGCCAATTTTACTCAGACTTTGCTGTTAGGAGGCAGAGGCAGCTTTCTGCTGAATGAAAATAAATGGATTTTCAGACTGAATCAGATCTGATGGTTTATGATCACCTGCAGGTGGATTCCTCCGTTAACCTAAAAGCCGTCGCCAAGGAGACGGACGGTTTTTCAGGAAGCGACCTCAGAGAAATGTGTCGCGATGCGGCGTTGCTGTGCGTCAGAGACTACGTCCACAACCAGAGCGGCAGGTAAGCCGTGGGACGGGCTGTTAACGGGCACGTCGGGGGTCCCAGATACGACTGGAGATTGGGTTAACGTTCGCTGTCTGTGTGCCCCTCAGCTCAGAGGACGACGACCCCATCCGTCCCATCAGTCAGTCTGACCTGCAGATGTCCATCACCAAACTGAAGCACTCCAAGGCGGCGAGCATTCACGGTGTCCTGCTGCACGCTGCTCTAGACTAAACAAACGGGTCACATGACCCTGCTGCGCCTCATCGAGCATGTGCCACTTACTTCCTTCCATTTGACTTTTCTTCTTTTTTTTAATTCCAACTTCAATGGGGAACCTGATGTTCCTGATGGGATGGATTTAACTGTTACACCTGCTCCACAGGATGTTCCGCCTCCATCAGGGTTCCTACTGATCTGGAAAAACAGTCAGTCCCCCTCAGACTGACTTTAAGCAAACACTGATTGGTATTCAGATAAAAAGCATAGATCTAATTAAAGAAACGGACGGTAAATCTGGTCAGGTTTGTCTGGAGCAGCAGGGCGGAGCTTCTTCCTCTGTGATGTCAAACATCAGGTGGTCAGTTTCTGCTTTCATCCTTTATTCTCTTTGCTTTTTAGGAGTTTTTACAATTTTCTGAGGGATGGTTCTGTATTATGACTATTATTTATATCGAACTGATGAAGAATGTTATTGTTCTGCTCAGTTCTGATTGTTTGAAAACAGTCAGAAATATCTTTTTTTTTCTTGATTTGATATCATTGTGATATTTAGGTTGTTTTATCTGTCAGAGCCCAGAGGTTTCATACCTGCTTTTAGGTTCTTCTCTATAACCCGGCCTTAGTCTTAGAAATGGGACCGTTTGCTGGATGTCTGCAGGAAAAGGTTCCTCTGAGGGCCGCTGGTTTGATCAGGCTCTATGATCTAAAGTCACAAGATTTACGATGAGAAAAAGATGGCTACTTGATGGTTCATTAGATGGGAACAAACTGGTTTAATCACTGGAGAGGGCGTCTCAATAGCTAACCTTCATTAATCAATAAAACAACTTCCTGTCTGATGATCCACAAACAGTCAGGTGTTCTCATTGGCTGTAAGGCGAAGATGTCAAACAGGATATGTGCACTAATGGGTCAGCTAGAAGGTGTCCTCTGATCAACATGACTGATTATAATCCTAATGAAGCTGCAATGATCCTAAATGATGAATAAATGCAGAGAATGAGTCCAGCGTCACATCTTTAGGGCGGAGTTTGGAATAAACCCATTGCTTCCGTTGGTCCTTACTTTTCCCTTTCCTCCCACTGGGAAGGAATAAACATGTTCATCTGATAGATGAGCTCCTGGTGATTTGTTTCCCACTCAGAAACCTTTTAAAACGAGCTTCTCTGCTTTTATTTTGAAAGGGTGGATGTTAGATCTGGATCAGACGTGGACTTCAGCATAAAGCTTCATTCTTGTGCATCTCCAAAATTAAAAGTTATTTTTAGATTCTCAGTGACCTTAAAGTCCTTTTTTAAAGTTTAGGGTCTTATAGTTTGGATCGGCTGAGTTCCAGTGTGAGTTTTAATAATTGATCAAATGAAGAATCTGGACGACTTCTGTTCACTGGAGACGTTTGACCTCCAATCCAAAAGCCTTCTACCGTTTCTGACACCGTCATGATCTGCTGACCAGCTTTCTGAAGAAACAACCTACTTATCAGCTGCCAGAGGTGTCAAGCAACAAAGTACAAATACTTCAAATGCATATTTTTTTCTTCTACTCCTTTTTATTTTAAATACTCAAAAGCTCGTTAGTATAATTTCATTTAAGCTCATTTTCATTATGGCCTGTTGGTATAAAAAAAAAAAAAGTTAACCATGTAAATAATTAGTTTCATCGAGATAATTTCTTTGTGGTTGGACTCGGTGCTGCCCCAACTTGTTGTTCAACAGATACCAAAATAAACAGTATGAGACGATGCAAAGTTAAATCTGATACCGTTACCATTAGTTATAGAAATTAAGTATAAGGAAGTTATCATCCAGAATTTTAGAAAAAATTTCATTTAAGGTAATGCAGTAAAACTTTTCCCTGCATTACTTTAATACTTAAGTATTAAGTAAAAATGGTACTTTTACTCGACTAAAAAGCTTAAAGGTATAGAGGACGATCTTATATTTCCGGGTGGACCATCCAATCACTTTGTTGATATGTTTACGTAAGGCTGCACTAAATGCTCATCCCCATTTTCATTAACCTGTGGAGAGTCCGACATAGTGGAAAAATTGCAAATCTTTTGGAAAGTAAGCCTGTATTAACGATGCAAACAGCAACTTTTAAACAGAGCGTGCAGAGCAATGTAATGTTCATGCTCTCACATGCATTTGATTGCTCCTAGGAGCAGGTACTGGGTTGTGCATGTGCATTTTTTTTGTTTTTAAGTGGGGAGGGTGGGTCTTTTTAAAGGCAAAAATCCTCCACAATACCTTTAAGTTGATACTCTAGGACTTTTTTAAACGGCAGGATTTATACTTTTACATGAGTAATAAATATAAATACTTTTGACACCTCTGTCAGCTGGACTTGGTAGCTCAATTTCATTCATCTGCTGTATCACATGGATGTGTTTTCAGTTGGCTTACCTTTATGTAAAAAATAAACTATTGGTCTGTTGTCAAATGTATATTTTCTGATGTGAATTTGGGTTTTTCATTATCTAATGATCACAATTACCTGAAATAAACACCTGAAAAGCATCACGATGTGCAATAAATGGCTATACTGAGTTTGAAATGATTGAACTGTTTTAATGTTTGATGCTTAATGAACTGAGCTGAGAAACTTTCCACAAAAGCCTTGAATGATTGGAAACAGTGGATGGGTTGTCAGCAAAGTTCAAAGGTCAGAGTGCAGATCTGTGATGGAGAGATTAGACATGCAGTGGACTGGTTGGAAGTAAGGGGTCAAATGTTCATTTCCCAAATCTTTAATTTTGTTGCTTTACTTAAACATCTTATAATTTAGATGATTTGGTTTTATTTTCCTGTAAACCAATCAGAATTAACTTTCCTTTAGAAACCCTCACCTGTTCCTGGTTTTATAAGGATCAGTCGCCGTCGTCTCTTAAGTCTCAAATTTCCCATCTGTAGGTTCCGATGATCCAACAGGAATTAGCCTGGATATTTTAATCAGAAAATGTGTCTTTATTAAAGCTTTAATTCTGAAACATTTGGCAAACTAAAAGCTCTGAAACCTTATTTGGCTCAAACACAAATCATTTCACCCAAAAGTATACATCCAAACATGGAGCAGCCAGCGTATCAAAATAAAAGAATAGTTAAATAAAACCCATATTGGGGGAAAAATTAGCTTAAAGCTTTATAAAGAAACCCAGATTAAAAGTCCATTTAAATAAAACTCATTAAGGCCTCAGAAATATTAGGGGATGAAGAATGAAAATGGGACAGAACTGGGTTTGTTCATCATGTCCTGCTCATGGATTACAGTCCGGTTCATCCTTTAAGCTCCGCCCAAAGGAAAGAGTCTCCCTGCTCAGTTTTAAATGTCTCTGAAAGGACGCCGTCTGCGTGGCTGTGGGGCGTGTCAGCAGGCGGATTAAGGCCATAACCGAGCGGGAAGGTGGGGGTCCAGGGGTCAAAGCTCGGTATTGGGCCCCCGGCCCTCAGGTCTCCCCTCACACTCTCTTTGGAAGTCACAGCCATCCAGCAGGTGGCGGTATGCAGCACGAACGTCTCTGTAAAGCGGTGCATCCTCCTGCAGGTCTGGGAAGCGCAGCGGCGTCTCGTTGATGAGCAGCTGCAGCCGGGGGCCACGCTGACAGTCATAGAGAACCAAGAGCAGGTTGGCGGCATACGGAACGATGCGGCTGGTTCGGAAACTTCTCCCTGCAGACAGACAGAGTTACTGCTCGCAGCTCTTTCAGAATAAAAGTATAACAGACGTGCGTCTCCCAGTTTCCAAAAAGAAGATTGAGGGTTTTAGATTTAACATAAAATAAACTTTTTTAATTTTCTGAGATGTTATTTTTCAGGTAATTTCTTTTTTTCCACAAATTGTTTCTCCATCAAATGCAATATTGTCTTAAATAAATCCAAACATAATTGAAATTCTAACAATTTTCTCAAATATCTAAATTAAAATGTAAATGCTTTATTTTATTAAGAAATTAAAAAATTTTCAGAAAGAAAATAACTTTGTTTTCTCCTTTTCTTAGGTTCTTTGTTTGTTTTTCCCTATTTTTTTTTTTTTTCATTTTTCATGCAGATAAGCGTTCAAATAAACAAGTTAACATTGCAGCCAAAATATCAGCCATTTAATTCCAGAATACTTTTTGAGATGTTATTTTTTGATGAATAATTAACAAGAGATTCTGCCTGGATTTCCAGGATTTCGCTGTTGAATAAAAGGTTTTGCAATAATTTTTTTCCTCCTTCTGATTGGATAAAGGCTTCTTACCATGCTGTGATTGGTAGTTGCTGGCTGTAGGCGGAGTCTGGTCTTTGTACAGTCCAAGGAGAGAGAGGAGGGGGAGGAGGGTCTCAGCGTGTCCCACCAAGATGGATGCCGGTTCTGGAGCCGCATCAGTGGATCTGCAAGCGGGACTCGGTTAGTTCACGAGTTAACTGGTGATGAGTCAGGGCGCCATACAGTTACCTCACCCACCGACGAGGACGGCCAGCTTTGTCCAAGGTCCTGAAGATGTGATGGAAGAGCGGACAGCTGGACAGACTGCTGATGGTGTGACCGTGAGAGCGCTTCCAGAACTGCTTCAGATCAGATTTGTACTCCAACACCTGGATGACACAAAGCAGAGAAAAAATCTAATCATCAAAAAACATTGAATCCATTCTGGTCTTTGTTTACCACCATGCAACCAAACTTTGTCCCGATCCATGTTTGGAGGAAGCTGTACCTGCTTCCACAGACCTATGGTCAGCATCAAACCTTACAGAGTTTCCTCTGATCGGCTTTTTGCTCAGTATATCACTGCTGACTAGTCAGATGTTATTAGGATACTGGAAAAATGCTGGTGAAGATTCTCAGTCATCCAAAAAAGTGACACTGGACTTTGTTTCCAAGTTTAAAGACGTTTTGCTTCCCATCCAGGAAGCTTTTTCATTTCATTCTGACGTTTTGCATTTTCACTTTTTTGGAAAGAGATACTGGAAGCACAAACCCCGCCTCGTTCAGTCCAACATAAGTTGATTTCGCTTATTTAGGACCTTTTTAAACTAAGGAAAATTTCAATTTACAGAGTTTACCTAAAAATTCCTAAAAATCATTTATTTATTTATTTATTTATTTATTTATGTTCTTACTTTTATTATAATTTTTTTGAAAAGTTGCAGCTGTACCTTGGCATCACTCTCGTCAAACAGGAAGCACCACGGTGAATGGATGGATTTGATGGACAGTTCATAGGAACAAATGAAGAAAGCAGCTTCTACCAGGTCTACAGGAAGCAGAAAGGAACAATAAGTCATGAAGAACTTTTTTTAGAATGCTACTTTTTTTTCCAGAGTGAGAAGCTGGTTGGTAAAATATGAAAAAGAGGGAACCCTTAGAGCTTCTTTGACCTACATTAACATCTCTGAACTGCTGCTACCATCAGTTTGTGTCGTCTCCTCACCTGGTGTGAGGAGGTGCAGAGAAAGGCCCAGTTTCTCAGCCATTCTCCGCCGCACCGCCTCCATCTCCACGCCATGCTTGAACTTCTCCACCTCCGCCAGTGCAGTACGGTTGTTCTCCACGCCCTCCACATAAGCTCTGCAACGCTCAAAGAAGCGCATTAGCTCATCATCCACCTCATGGCTGTATCCTGGAGCCTCATCTTTGGAAACGGAGGAAAAGAGCGTCGGTTAAAGACATTCCCAAAATGAAGAAATGTCTGCAGCAGACATCTGACCGTTACCTTGGCGACCCCAGTGCTGCTGCAGACCGTCCTGGAATGCCTCCACGCTGCTCACACAGCGATGCTTAGAGCTGGTGACGAAGCTGATTCTCCTCTTCCTCATGTTTTCCTCCGACAGCAAAGATGGGAACAAAGTGGCGAGCCGCCGGGCGAGGAGCTGCAGGTCCTCCCTGCCCTTCCTCACCAGCCGACCTAAGGAAGAGAAAATATTCCTTCAATCTGGTTCAATCAAACAGGAAAAGTTTACTTTTATTAATGATTTAATGTGTCTAGAAAATTTTGATAATTGCAACTAGTTTTTCTTAAATTTTAAACTCCATATACAGGAAATGATTCATTACCATTTTTGATTCCGCAGCGATAAAAAAAATGACAAAATTAATAAATTTGTAACTTTGAAACACGTGCTTAATAATGTTAACAATAAATGACCCAGAAATATAAAATTAACAATAGCAAAAAAATATGCAAATAACATTTGTCTTTAGTATCAATAACAAATTAGTATTGTATCTGGATATATTCTTTGCACATCAGTATCGCTACTTTGGACAACACTAATATATCATTTATTTAGAACAGAAAATGTACTTGGACATTGCAATAAAATAAATACCTTCTGGAACAAGTTTTACCAGTCATCAAAGGAAGTTTAGGTCATTTTTTTAAAGAAAAAATATTTTTTAACAATTCTGATTGAACATTTAAGACACATATTAGTAGATCTATTTGATTCATTCAATTTTATTAATCATCTTAAAGGAATAGAAATTCTCCAGAATTAGATTCTATTTATTCTTTTTAACTTTTCAACTCATTGACTATTTCAGGTATTAATGTAACAAATGTTTTTGTTTTTTCCAGCAAAGAATTAATGGATCATTTCTTTCATTATCAGCAGATGAAATTCTGGATCATTAGAATCGTTTTGCTTCTTGAACAGCCATTTTTTTATTCTTTTGTTGTTGTTTTTTTTTTTTTTTTTGGAGCCAGTTGATTTTTCTGGAATAATCCAGACATGGACTCAACTGTATTTATCCCTTGGGATTACTCCTTCAGGGAAATTCTGGTTCCAGTAGCTAATATAGATATAAACATTTAAAGAAAGATGCCATCAAAAATAAAAATACAACAGACAATATAAAATAAGTGTATATAGTTCAAACATTGTAGATTTAAATAAGTTGTAAAACAAACAAAAAAATAATAAATTCAATTCAGTTTCTTTTTATAGCACCAATTCACAACAAGTCATGTCAAGGCACTTTACAGTTCACCAGATCATAACAGTCAAATTTATTCAAAGTTTTCTATCGAAGGAAAACCAGATGATTGCATCGACTCATTGACTCTTCAGCAATCCCTCACACTAAGCATGCCTGTAGTGACAGTGGAGAGGAAAAACTCCCTTTGAACAGGAAGAAACCTCCAGCAGAACCAGACAAATTTATTTGTTTATTTTTTTTTGTGAAACAAATTGGTATACTAAAATAGTTTATTTATTTATTTTTTAATTTTTTGCCATTTGTATCATAAAAATTGCACATTCTCTTGTTAAATCTAAGTTAAAGTAGTATTTTTGTAGAAAAAGTTTTTTTTTTTTCTGGAGCTAATTAAACCTTTTTCACATTAAAGGTTGTTTTTTTTCTTTTGATGTATAACTAAAGTTTTTTAGGGTGACCTGTTGTTTATTTTTCCTATAAAGTTTTTCTTTTCTTATATATATTTGTAACATATTTCTCTTCAGGAAGGTGATGTTAAAAGCAGCCTTACTCCAGAACCAGAGCCCTTACCATCCATGTCCTCAGTGAACCATTGCTCCCAGTGCTTCCGGAGCTCCTGCAGCCAGACCGTGGAGCTCTCCGAGGTTCTGGCTGCATCTTTCTGGACTATCTCGCTCAGTCTGTGGATCCTCCGGATGTTCTTGACGGTCGGGTACCGACTGCCATGCCTGATGACGGCGGTCAGGTGGACCGGGGTGCAAAGCTCACCTGGCGGAGGTCTCAGTATCGAGGTGTTGACAGTTAAAGGGTCTCGCAAAAGGTTCGGTTTCACTTCCTCATAGCGGGTCTTGGTTCCGAAATAAGCGGCAATATCTGGGACGTCTGGCACCGACCCAAATGAGCAGGAGATCCGGGCTGGAACGAGGCTGAGAGCCGCCAGGAATAATCCATGGGTTCCCAGCTGGAACATGTCTGCTGCAGAACTGAACCGAACCTCCGGTTCTGCCCTCTGATATGTCAACAGAACCTTCTAGGAGGTTTAATGGTTCATGTTTAGAAAAATCAATGGGAACAGACCGAACCGTACCAGGAAGTCAGGGATATATCTTAGCCTACAAACAAACTCAACTTCCGGTTGTCTTCGGGTTTGTGTTTGATGACAAAATAAGAGCCTCTTCTTCAAAATAAAAGCGCAGGCGCTCTGTTTCAGTGGCTGACCCTGGCAGCAGCTTTTTTCTTTTTCTTTTTTTTTTTTTTAAATAAACATTATTTACAAGTATAGAATATACAATTGCAAACAGTCATATGTTTGAGGTGCGGGATGACAAATCCACAGGATTTCAAGAAAAAAACAAAAAAAAAACAGAAAAGATGAATTTCTTCAATTAGGATTGTAAGTTTCACAGCTTTAGAGATGGTGCACATTTTTAAAGAGTCCAAAATACATCTTACATAAGCTCTAAAAACAGTGAGGTTGGGTCTGTTTTTAGGAAATTTGCAGGCATGTATGAAACTTCACCAACAGAATAGAAAAGTTTAAAAGATATTCTTTCCCGGACATACTGTTATTGGAAATACCAAAGAAAGCATGTTTGACATTTAAAGGAATAAGTATGTTTAATTTCCGACAAAAGAAAATATTGAAGTCACCAAAACATTTTACTGAAAGACTATTCCCAAAATAGGTGGGTTAATGTTTCTTGTTCGACATGAAAAGCCTGGCAGCAGCTTAGGGGAATGGTTTAGGATTTTTCTCTATATTCCAGTCACCAGGTAGCTCAATCTTTCAGTTTGTGCAAAATTGCCTGCAGATCAGACGGGAACTTAAAGGTATGGCGGTGGATGTTCACATATTTTTTAATAGAACCGCCCTCTCCAATTTAAAAAATATTGCACAATCACTATATATAGCGGGGACTAGTGGACTTTATAGTGAACTCAGTTAAAGGAATAGTACACCCAAAACATGATTAGCCTTCATTTTCTACTCACCCCCATGCTGAACAACACTCTGGAGTACTTTTTTGATATCTCAAATGCATCTGGAGATCTGGGAGGCTTCTTGCTGTCTGCTGACATTCAAATAATGGAGGTCTATGGCGCCAGAGGCAGAAAGGTCCATAAAAGTCCACAAAAACGTGTCAATATTCCTCCATACTGCTCGTCCAATGTATTCCAAGTGTCCTGAGTGGGTAGCTTCCAGAATTTACTCGAAACGAAGTCATTTAGAATGTTTTTAGAGCATAAACAGTAGTGTATAGGATTTCCTGAAAGCGCGTTCACGAGTCTACGGAAACCGCGGCAGACCAAACCAGATGAAAGTGCGCATTCAGCTCGGCAAAGAACTCATGCTCTTCCTCAACACTGAAGTCCTCAGACATTTTTCTTTCATTGTTTCTTTCTTTGCACAGGTAAACAGCACATTTCTTCTTCTACGCTTGCATTATTGGCAGAGCAGACGCTGAATACGCACTTTCATCTGGTTTGGTCTGCCGCAGTTTCCGTAGACTCGTGAACGCGCTTTTAGGAAATCCTATACACTACTGTTTATGCTCTAAAAACATTCTAAATGACTTTGTTTCGAGTAAATTCTGGACGCTACCCACTCAGGACACTTGAAATACATTGGACGAGCAGTATGGAGGAATATTGACACGTTTTTTGTGGACTTTTATGGACCTTTCTGCCTCGGGCGCCATAGACCTCCATTATTGGAATGTCAGCAGACAGCAAGAAGCCTCCCAGATCTCCAGATGCATTTGAGATATCAAAAAAGTACTCCAGAGTGTTGTTCAGCATGGGGGTGAGTAGAAAATGAAGGCTAATCATGTTTTGGGTGTACTATTCCTTTAGCTCACCTCTCGGACAGATGATCACGGCTTTTCGCTCCCATTTGCTCACGTAACTCATCCTCCACCGCACGGTTCATATATACAGAAGACTGAATCTGTTTCAGGATAGAAAATGTAAGCAGACTGATATAAAGCTTTCAGCACAGATACTTGAGCTCTCTGATTGACTGACAGCTTGGAATACAGACTGTGTTCCTACGTTTGTGGACAGACCATTTCCATTTCAGCTGCAGTGAATAAAATTCTGATGTCTGGCTCCTTTAAAAATTATAAAGCTCCACAATGCTTACATTTCTAGCCCCTCTTCATTATTTTAAATTCCACGTTTTTTTATGGTGTTTACTTTTATCAATTATATCAGGTATTTTCATAAAGCAATCTTCCAGCTGTGAAGTGATGGAATCCACTGCAGCTTAAAAAAAAAACTTCAATAAAACTTCACTAAAAAAAGGAATTTTTAAATTAGCATTTAATTATTTCATTCAGAATTTTGAATATATCTGATTATTTAATTGGACATTTTATTATTTAGTTGTGCATTTTATAATTTCTATATTCATCTAATATCTAAATCATGTAATAGATTTTAAAAAATGTATTTTTGAATTATGTTTCTTAATTTTTTTGGATGTCAAATTGATGTTTTATTAATGGGATTGTTTTTTATTGTGTGTTTTATAATTTTATGGTATATAAATGTTATTTCTTCTTCATGGTACATCTTTGTATTTCATTTGACATTTATATAATTTAAGATACATTTTGGGACTCCATATATATCAAGGATGATATCACAATGATTGTGAAAATCCGGACCCCACTTTGGGGACCTCTGCTCCAGCACTCTGATGGCAGGAAAATCTCTGATGCAGCAATTTGAAACAGACTCAGAGGGAGACTGGAGGCCCCATTGTCCTCCAGGAGGCCATGTGTTCATTTCCTGGGGCCCCCACTGGCTTTTGCCCAGGAGCACCAGAATAGACAAACAGAACGCTGGCAAAGACAGCAGGTTCATTCTGAGGTCAAATAACAGACAGGAAAAGGCGGTGCTCAGACTGCCTTTCGGTTTCAGAAGGATATTAAATAAAGTTTATACATGGCAGCAGCTGTCAGACTCTTTACTGGTGCAGTGGCACCTGGGTTCCTCTTGCTGGTGGCCTGGTACATATGAAAGCATGACATGATATCATTAAACACATTCACACTGCAAGAAATCCGCTCCAGGTTTTACTCAAACTGTTTAACCAAGAAGAAGGAAGGATTACAAATTCGACTCTGGGTCAGAATCTGAAAAGTTTAGGACTTATTTTTGGATTTAAATGGAAAGAAAACTTCTTTTTTCCATATTATACCAGTGGGTTCAAGCAAAAGACTTTCTTAAGGGGTTAAACTGATCAGCCAATCCGGAATCAGGATTTTCCAGAAAACGCTTAGCTATAATAATAATAATAAAAAAAAAAAAAAAAAAAAGATTTGACACCATACACAAAAAATAAGCCATGCATGTTGTGGTTATTGGTGAACAGTGAACCGGTTGAACGTGCGCGCCGCGCGCCCTCTGCTGCAGGTCTGCGATTCAAACAACCAATGAGATCAAAGGAATCACTTCCGGTTTTATACTGGCCAGAAACTGGGATGTCAGTATGAGCAGCCAGCAGCTGCCCGTTCATTTATGTCTCCAGATTAAAGAGCAGGAGCTGCTGCCTTCACCAGTGGACCTCTAAGAACACCCTCCAGGTCAGTGAGTTTAAATACTGTCACCTTTTCCAGACGAAGCGGATAAAAACAGAGAAAACAGGCACACTGTCTGCTGTGATCCCATGGAGCTGAATGATAAGCTGCAGTTTACAGCTGCCTGAAAATTATTCCTGTCTGTTTGTAAACAAGGCGGATTTTACGGAGTGTTGACACACAGCTAGCTGGTTAGAACGTAACCAACCTTACGCACAATACTGTACGTAATGTATGCGTAGGGAACGGAGATGCGTAAAGCTGGTGTTTGCCAGGCTTACAGGGAGGCTGTTAACAATATCCAAGGAGAACTATTCAGTTTAATGAAGGGCTGATTGGTTTATTTCACTAAAACCCAACTCAATATCTTATGATTGATGGAATGAATATGGATCCCACCCATCCTAGCTCCAATTCACAACACATGTCATCTCAGGTCACTTTACAGTTCACAGATAATCGAGTCAAAATGATTCAGGTAGGGATACTTCATAAGAATATTACCAATGTATAAGTAATTCAATTCAAGTCAGTTTTATTTATATAGTGCCAATTCACAACTAGTGTTGTGCGATGCCATTTTTTGGCCCTGATACCCGATAACTGGCTGTGCAGTATCGGCCGATACCGATACCATAATAATGTAAAATAATTGCCACCATGGCTTTGTCAAGCTGCTGCCTACCTTTGTGAAGCAGGAAAAAAATCTAATACAAAGTAAATCCAGTATAATTTTTCAATAAACAGTTCTACTGGATAATAAAATAAAAAGTTTTTATTGCCTACCAGGAGTGGGTTACAATAGTTGAATAAACTTATGGCTCTCAAAATGGTATCTGTGCCCTATTTGTTGGTACTCGCCGATACCGATACCACCATTTTAGGGCAGTATCGGCGCCCCGTCCGATACTGGTATCGGTATCGGTGCAACACTATTCACAATGCACAAAGCACTTTACAGTTCAACCAAATCATACAGTCAGATTAATTCAGAGTTTTCTATCTAAGGAAAACCAGCTGATTGCATCGACTCATTGACTCTTCAGCAATCCCTCACACTAAGCATGCTTGTAGCGACAGTGGAGAGGAAAAACTCCCTTTGAACAGGAAGAAACCTCCAGCAGAACCAGGCTCAGTGTGAGCGGCCATCTGCTGAGGCTGACTGGGGTTCAAAGAGACAGAAGCAGACATAGAAAAAGAAGCATAGATACAAAAAGCAGCTGTAAAAGGCGGCCCCATCCAGGAACACACAGCCAGGCAGACGAGCTCCGAGCCAGCTCCCATGTCAGAGGATGAAGAGAGCACATCCAGTTAGTCACAGTCAGAGAAACAGGACTGCACTGGAAAACAGGCCACTCTCCAACATCTAGAAACAAAGGTGTTGATGGCAGCAGCACAGCTGATATTTCTCTCCAGGATGGAGTCACAGCCAAACAGGAACAGACCAGATGAAGCTACTATGAGAAAAAGCAGAGAGAGCAGAACGTTAGAGATTGAACAGATTCTGCAGAATAGGAGAACAGAGAGAGAATGAAGCAGAATGATGAAATAGGGGTCCCTATGTCCTCCAGCAGTCTAAGCCTATAGCAGCATAACTATAGAGATAGCTCAGAATAACCTGAGCCACCCTAACTATAAGCTTTATCAAAAAGGAAAGTTTTAAGCCTAGCCTTAAAAGTAGACAGGGTGTCTGCCTCACGGACTAAAACTGGTAGTTGGTTCCACAGGAGAGGAGCCTGATAACTAAAAGATCTGCCTCCCATTCTACTTTTAGAAATTCTAGGAACCACTAGTAAACCTGCAGATTGAGAGCGAAGTGCTCTGTTAGGAACATAAGGAACAATCAGATCTCTGATATCAGATGGAGCTTGGCCATTTAAGGCTTTATATGTGAGAAGGAGGATTTTAAATTCTATTCTGGATTTAACAGGAAGCCAATGAAGAGAAGCCAGGATAGGAGAGATATGATCTCTCTTTTTCATTTTCATTAGAACTCTGGCTGCAGCATTTTGAATCAGCTGAAGGCTTTTAACTACAGTTTGTGGACTTCCTGATAGTAAAGAATTACAATAGTCCAGCCTTGAAGTAACAAATGCATGGACTAGTTTCTCAGCATCACCCTTGGACAGGAGATTTCTAATTTTGCAATGTTCCTCAGATGAAAGAAGGAAATTCTAGAAACCTCTTTAATAAACCTCTTCTTCATCTAAATATAAAGGCATCCACAAAAACAAAAAACATAATAATATTAACTCCTCTAACCATTTTGTTGAATGTACCGGTAGATCCACATCTAATGTAGACCAACGTCATCTTTGTGAGGAATAGGAACCAAAGGTTGGAACCATTTATCCAACCTTTGGAAATGAATTCATGGCTGGTTGTTTTCCAGATCCACAAACGTAAATGTCTTTGTCACCCTGACATAACATTTTGATGCTAAACCAAAATAAACAAGCTGAACTTATAAATAAAATAATAATCACATTTCTTTATACGGTACATAAATTCTATTTTACCAAAAGGCTCTCCTAATGTTGTCCTTTAAAAATAAGATACATTTACTTGCTCCAATCCCCCTAAAAATGATCTATTGGTCAGACAAAAATATTGTTCATCTTATCCTAAAATTCTAAGCAAATCTTTCCAGTGTTTATGATGGACCTATAGGAAGCTGGTTAGGGTGATTGGTGGTTCTCTGAGCTTTTCTTTGGATATATTTCAACTTTCAATGCAGTTATAGAAAATTAGATTGTTCTCTGTTTCTGCACATTTAGAATGATAAGAACCTAAATCACATATGTAAAGATTGTCTTGGACTAAAAACATGTGTGTTTGCTGTTTGCTTTGGTTTGCCTTTGCTTTATTATGGTTGAAAAATAAAAACCTATAGGTAGCATAAAATAGGCAATAAATATCCAGTAAATATTACACATTACTGCACCGTTACTCCTATTTAGAGTCACCAAGCGGTTTTTAATTTCTCATCTGTAAAAGCTGACAAGATAGTTTTCACAGTCAAAGAAGGCCAAATACAACATGAAATAAGTAAATGTAACATTGATTGCTTTAATTCATTAATTAATTAACTTCTCTGTCTGTTTAATTATACAAAATCTGTAAAAAAAAAAAAAAATAATAAATACATAAAATTTTGTTTTTAAGATAAAAAAATCCTCTTCGTCTGTCAGTTTGCTCTATCCAGAGCTCCTGGAGTGGCAAAGTTTACCTTCTCCTTTTTAAAATTCTGTTTAATATCCTATTTAAGGATTTTTTATATATATAACAAATGTTAATTGAAGCTCTAAACATGAACTTGGGTTAAATCAAAAATATTGCAGCAGATAAATCAAACTCTTATTGCTGAAACCTACATTGTCCTAATTGAGCCAGTTGCAGCTTTGGTCACATGAGGGTTCATTAACCATCATGGCTGATTTCCACATCCTTCTTGTTCCCTTTTTTATTTATTGCAAGTTTCAGAATGAAAATTCAAAGTTCCCTTTTTTCAACAGGGTAACTTCTTTATAAAATGTCAGAGCTTTATTCCTCCTGCAGTTTTCCCATGGATGTAAAGATATTATAGCTTGGTTCAGACTGATGCTGTCGTGCAGCATAGCAGAAGTCAGCAAACTACCGCCGCTTGTCTCCAGGTTCCAGGTGACGCCATGCCGGTCTCCCTGCTGTGGGCGGTGGACGTGCACGGGCGCGTCTACAGCCTGTCCACTGCGGGACAGCAGTGGGAGCAGTGCCGCCATGCCCAGATGGAGTTCAAGCGTGTGACGGCAGCTCAGCAGTGCTGCTGGGGCATCGCCTGTGACAACGGCATCTACCTGAACGTCCACGCGTCTGACCTGCCCATCCGCTACCAAGAGGACGCGTACGAAAACCAGGTAAATGTTGTTTTTCCACCAAGGAGGGACTCAGCAATGTAAAAACTAAGTTATTTTCTTTAATTTGGAGAAGGTCCGGCTATATAAAGCTCCACACTATGAGGTATACTGTCTGTGGGGGTCAGATAAACACTGCTTTAATTATTATCTCAATACAACATGTAAGAATTACATTTATAAGACTGAAGGCTTCAGGTTTATCATTGTCATTGTCCATTTCAACTCTTGATATTGTCAACCTAGCTTGTCAGCCAATCATGTTCAGGTCACTTTATTAGGTACACTTTACTGAAATTCTAATGTTTTCATCTTTCAGGAATTTCCTAAAAGCTCCAATCATTTCATACTTTATTCCCCATCCTCACAATTTATCACTAATGGTGTCCAAAGTGATTGTATTTCAGTCCAGTAGAGCTCATCTGGCCATCGTGTCGCTATTATTTATTATCTCTGAGGAATGTTTTAATACTTGGTAAATTAATGTCACAGTTGGACAGGAGACAGGAACACCCGGGGGCTATTTAACTCTCTTGATTACCAGTAATAATGAACAACCTTTGCAGATTTTAACTCTGCTTCTGCATTTTACTCTTATCCTGAACCAGTTCTTGGTAGAGTTATTCATTAATTCAAATCTCAAGGATCAATTTGATCCCAATTCTAAAGATTTGGAATAAATTCTGCAAGTCTGTTATCCGATTGGTTTGCTGGTATTACAAACATTTTGTGGCTGTTACAGGTACTACATGACTGAATTACTCACTATATTCATCTATCCCGTCTAAACCAGTCATTCATTGTTCTGCATAATATAGTAAATAGTTGAGCAGTAGTTATATTATTAAATACAATGGAAGAGAGTCTTAGCTTCCATTTTCCCCCATGATTCACAAAAAACTAGTTCTGAATAGAGCCTGCATTCTGTTTTTGTCATTGTTATTGTTAGGTTATTGATGTGAATAATTAATTACTATATTTTTTATGTCAGTTTTGTTTGACATATTAAAGTTGAGTTGTTATAACATTCAACTGGAAAGTATAACTGCTACCGCCGTGTGGTTTAAAGGGGAACTGCTAGGTGGTAAATTTAATCCACATGGAAACAACACATAACAAGGTGGCCATGGGAACCACTTTAGCTCCGCCCTGCTTCAGGGATGGATGGATGGATGGATGGATGGATGGATGGATGGATGGATGGATGGATGGATGGATGGATGGATTTGATGGATGGATGGATTTGATGGATGGATGGATGGATGATGGATGGATGGATGGATGGATGGTGGGATGGATGGATGGATTGATTGATGGATGGATGGTGGGATGGATGGATGGATTGATGGATGGATGGATGATGGATGGATGGATTGATGGATGGATGGATGATTGATGGATGGTGGGATGGATGGATGGATGATGGATGGATGGTGGGATGGATGGATGGATGGATGGATGGATGGTGGGATGGATGGATGGATGGATGGATGGTGGGATGGATGGATGGATGGATGGATGGATGATGGATGGATGGATGGATGGATTTGATGGATGGATGGATTTGATGGATGGATGGATGGATGATGGATGGATGATGGATGGATGGATGGATGGATTGATGGATGGATGTAGGGCTGGACGATATGGAAAAAAAACGATATCACGATATGGATTATTTTATATCACGATAACGATATATATCACGATATACCACAACTGATGTTGCATTTTATGTTTTCATAGTCCGTCAGATGGACAGGGTTGAAAAAAATCTTTCATCGCCTATTTTTTACCCATCATCTTGTTTCCTAATATGAGAATCCCAACCCCAACCAAGAACACCAGTTATGCAATTTGCGGCCATGACAGTGAACAGTATAGAATCTTGGCTATTGCGCTGCAGTAATTAATCATTTAATATTTGTTTGTTATTGACATTTTATAAAATTCCAAGGCCAGGTTTTTCTCTTGTCTTTCACTTACCTTGTTTTCCACTAGGAGGGTCCAGTCCTTTACTGAAATGTTTTCGACTAGGCATCACATATCTGGGATCGAGTGTACGGACGAGGTCCCGAAAGCTGTCTTTCTCGACTATGTAAACGGGGGCCATGCCTTTACAGATATAGCGTGAAATAGCACCTGTGATCTGCTTGTGTCGCTGAGACGTCTTCTCATATTGTGATCCTTGGGCGAATGCTTCCTTAAGCTTCGGCTGTGAGAATTTCTTTCCAGTGCTTCCTGTATTTTCATCCCTTGTTTGTTTTGATCGGAGTGGTTGTAGTTTCCCGTGTTCTTGTTCATGATTTTTCTTCAGGTGGTAAAAGAGGCCGGAAGTATTTACATCAGCCGCTGGAACGGCTTTGCTGCACAGTTTACATATCGGTTGCGTTTGTTCTTTATCAGATGGCTGAAATCCGAAATATAACCAAACAACCGAGCTGCCTCCCCTTTTGGGCAAAAGTGGTGTTTGTTGTGTCTGTGACCTGGCAACCGTTTCGGACTCTGTAACCGCTGCTGTGGTAACATCTTCTTGGGTGTCCCATCATTCATTTTTTTTCAAGCCAGAAAGAAATTTCGCGGGCTCTCTCCGTCAGTAATGTCGCAAACGTATGGTGCAAAGCCGCGTGACGTAAAGCGGTGTAGTGTCGCAAAACCACGTTCTCTACACATTATCTTTTTATTCTCTTTTTTTTTCGTTATATACACTTAGAGTTTGCATAGCAAAAACGCAAAATGTTATATTAACAAATTATATTAAAATGTATATTAGCAGTAATAATAATAATAAAAAAGTTTATCACGATAGAAAAAATAGAGGAGAAAGGTCACGATAGACATGTTTCTCTCGTCCTCACGATATATATCGCCATATCGCCCAGCTCTAGATGGATGGATGGATGGTGGGATGGATGGATGGATTGATTGATGGATGGATGGTGGGATGGATGGATGGATGATGGATGGATGGATGATGGATGGATGGATTGATGGATGGATGGTGGGATGGATGGATGGATGATGGATGAATGGATTGATGGATGGATGGATGGATGGATGGATGATGGATGGATGGATGATGGGATGGATGGTGGGATGGATGGATGGATGGATGGATGGATGGATGGATGATGGATGGATGGATGGATGGTGGATGGATGGATGGATGGATGGATGGATGGATGGATGGTGGGATGGATGGATGGATGATGGATGGATGGTGGGATGGATGGATTGATGAATGATGGATGGATGGATGGATGGATTGATGGATGATGGATGGTGGGATGGATAGATGGCTGATGGATGGTGGGATGGATGGATGGTGGGATGGATGGATGGATTGATGGATGATGGATGGATGGATGGTGGGATGGATGGAGTGGTTAATGGATTGATGGATGATGGATGGATGGATGATGGATGGATGGATGGATGGTGGGATGGATGGATGGATGGTGGGATGGATGATGGATGGAAGGTGGGATGGATGGATGGATGGTTGGATGGATGGATGGATGGATTTTGGGATGGATGGATGGATGGTGGGATGGATGGATGGATGATGGATGAATGGATTGATGGATGGATGGATGGATGGATGATGGATGGATGGATGATGGGATGGATGGTGGGATGGATGGATGGATGGATGGATGGTGGGATGGATGGATGGATGATGGATGGATGGATGGATGGTGGGATGGATGGATGGATGGTGGGATGGATGGATGGATGGATGGATGATGGATGGATGGTGGGATGGATGGATGGATTGATGAATGATGGATGGATGGATGGATGGATTGATGGATGATGGATGGTGGGATGGATGGATGGCTGATGGATGGTGGGATGGATGGATGGTGGGATGGATGGATGGATTGATGGATGATGGATGGATGGATGGTGGGATGGATGGAGTGGTTAATGGATTGATGGATGATGGATGGATGGATGATGGATGGATGGATGGATGGTGGGATGGATGGATGGATGGTGGGATGGATGATGGATGGAAGGTGGGATGGATGGATGGATGGTTGGATGGATGGATGGATGGATTTTGGGATGGATGGATGGATGGTGGGATGGATGGATGGATTGATGGATGGATGGATGGATGGATGGTGGGATGGATGGATGGATGATGGATGGTGGGATGGATGGATGGATGGATGGTGGGATGGATGGATGGATGGATGGATGGATGGTGGGATTGATGGATGATGGATGGATGGATGGATGGTGGGATGGATGGAGTGGTTAATGGATTGATGGATGATGGATGGTGGGATGGATGGATGGATGGATGGATGGTGGGATGGATTGATGGATGATGGATGGTGGGATGGATGGATGGTGGGATGGATGGATGGATGGTGGGATGGATGGATGGTGGGATGGATGGATGGATTGATGGATGGATGGATGGTGGGATGGACGGAGTGGTTAATGGATTGATGGATGATGGATGGATGATGGATGATGGATGGATGGATGGATGGATGGATGGTGGGATGGATGGATGGATGGTGGGATGGATGATGGATGGAAGGTGGGATGGATGGATGGTTGGATGGATGGATGGATGGATTTTGGGATGGATGATGGATGGATGATGGATGGATTTTGGGATGGATGATGGATGGAAGGTGGGATGGATGGATGGATGGATGGTTGGATGGATGGAGGGATAGATGGATGGATGGATGATGGATGGATTTTGGGATGGATGATGGATGGAAGGTGGGATGGATGGATGGATGGTTGGATGGATGGAGGGATAGATGGATGGATGGATGGATGGTGGGATGGATGGATGGATGGATGGATGGTGGGATGGATGGATGGATGGATGATGGATGGATGGTGGGATGGATGGATGGATTGATGAATGATGGATGGATGGATGGATGATGGATGGTGGGATGGATGGATGGATGGATGGATGGTGGGATGGATGGATGGATGGATGGATGGATGATGGATGGATGGTGGGATGGATGGATGGATTGATGGATGATGGATGGATGGATGGATGATGGATGGATGGCTGGATGGATGGTGGGATGGATGATGGATGGAAGGTGGGATGGATGGATGGATGGATGGTTGGATGGATGGATGGATGATGGATGGTGGGATGGATGGATGGATGGATGTGGGATGGATGGATGGATGGATGGTGGGATGGATGGATGGATTGATGGATGATGGATCGATGGATGGTGGGATGGATGGAGTGGTTAATGGATTGATGGATGATGGATGGATGATGGATGATGGATGGATGGATGGATGGATGGATGGTGGGATGGATGGATGGATGGTGGGATGGATGGATGATGGATGGAAGGTGGGATGGATGGATGGATGGTTGGATGGATGGATGGATGGATTTTGGGATGGATGATGGATGGATGGATGATGGATGGATTTTGGGATGGATGATGGATGGAAGGTGGGATGGATGGATGGATGGTTGGATGGATGGAGGGATAGATGGATGGATGGATGGATGGTGGGATGGATGGATGGATGGATTGATTTTGGGATGGATGATGGATGGATGATGGATGGATTTTGGGATGGATGATGGATGGAAGGTGGGATGGATGGATGGATGGTTGGATGGATGGAGGGATAGATGGATGGATGGTGGGATGGATGGATGGATGGATGGATGGATATAGGTCTATAATTGACCAAGTCATCTGGGTCAAGAGACGGTTTCTTAAGCAGAGGTTTAATTACAGCAATCTTAAAAGCTTTAGGTACATATCCCTGTAACAGAGATAGATTAATCACATCTAAAATGGAGGAGGAGATCAAAGGGAATACCTCCTTAAATAACCTGGTTGGAACTGGATCTAACATACAAGTTGAAGGCTTAGATGAAGACAATAATTTTGCTAATTCAGAGAGTTCAACTGGATCAAAGCAGTCTAAACCCGGTTCAGATTCCATGACTACCTCAGGTACAATCGCGGATAGAGGAGTGCTTATGATCTTATTTTTAATAAGATCAATCTTATTTATAAAGAATCCCATAAAATCATTGCTGCTAAGAGCAGGTGGAATGGACGGTTCAACAGAGCTATGGCTCTGGGTGAGTTTGGCAACTGTATTAAAAAGAAATCTAGGATTATTCTTATTCTCCTCTATTAATGAGGAGAAGTATGCTGCTCTTGCTTTACAAAGGGTCCTCTTATACAGCAGTAAACCATTTTTCCAGACTAGGAAGGACTCTTGCAGGCCTGTGGAGCGATATTTTCTCTCCAGTTTCCTAGCATTTTGCTTCAAAGTACGCAGCTCTGCATTAAACCAAGGAGCAAGCTTTCTATTTTTAACGGTTTTCATTTTCAAAGGAGCTGCGTTGTCTAAGGCAGTACGCAGAGAACTAGCAACCCCATCAACAAAATTATCAACCTGTGAAGGGGAATAAGCTAAGCTTTTGCACTCTGCAGCACTGCTCAGTGACACAGAGGAGAGAGAAAGTGAAGCAGATTCTTTAAAATTTATAACTGCACTATCTGATAAAGATCTACTAAAATTGAACCTTCTTTTGGGGGAGGAGAACTCTGTTAAAGTAATCCTGAAGGTTATTAGAAAGTGGTCAGAGAGGACAGGGTTGTGAGGAAATACTGTTATTTCTTCACATTCTATGCCGTATGTCAGCACAAGATCCAAAGTATGAAGATGAGAATGCGTGGGACTATTCACATTTTGAACAAAGCCAATAGTGTCTAAGATAGCATTAAAGGCTGCTCTTAAGCTATCGCCTTCAATGTCAGCATGGATGTTAAAATCTCCCACTATGATGACCCTGTCAGTATTTAATACCAAATCAGAAAGGAACTCTGAAAACTCATCTAAAAATTCAGAGTAAGGACCTGGTGGACGATACAAAGTTACAAAAAGAAGAGGTTTTCTTGCCTTGAAATTTGGATCAGGGAAATTAAGGGTTAAATGTTCAAAAGAGTTGTAGGTATTAATTGTTTTGGGAGTAATCAGTAAGTCAGACTGGAAGATTGTTGCTACTCCTCCTCCTCGCCCAGAACTTCTGGGGATGTGAAAATTTAAATAGCTTGAAGG